TTGAAAGCATTGACAATTTTACATTGTATTGCCAACATAATGTCAGTTTGACTTTTATCTTTAAAAAAAAAACAGATTTTACTTCCAGACCAGATAGAAGAAAATTGACTTAGATGTCATGGGATTGATTTTCGAGAAACGTCGATTGTCAAAAACCGTATCGCGATATCTTCAATGGTACCATTAAAACAGGGCGATTTTCGATTTTCCTCTATTATGAAAAATGGCTAAACGTTTTTTGTTTATCAATTTTTTTTATTTCTGTGAAAACATCTTTGGGATACTTCTTTGAGCACAATACAGTGGCGTACTCAGTTTTTTTCTATTTTGCTCCTATTTTGAGATATTGATCGAAGTCCGATTTTTTTAAATCGGACACCCTAAGTATATATTATTAGCTCATTGGATAGCTCTACTTTTACAGATTTCAATGATATAAAGTTCGATAGGTTTATCTCTAACAGTTTTCGAGGAAAAAAATTATATCTGTTTCAGTAATAAGAAACAATGTGTTAGAAAGAGACCTTCCTCATTTTCCTTACACATATCAAATCCATTTCTAACACATTGGTCCTTACCACAAAAACAGATTTAATTTTTTTTTTCTCGAAAACTGTTAGAAGTAAACCTATCGAACTTTATATCATTGAAATCAGCAAAAACAGAGCTATCCAATGAGCTATTAATATATAGGGTTTTTCATTTGAAAATATCGGACTTTGGTAGATATCTCAAAATCGGAGAGAAAAAAACTGAGTCCGCCACTGAATTGTGCTCAAAAAAAGTGTCTCCATAATGTTTTTACAAAAATAAAAAAAATTGATAAATAAAAAACTTATAGCTATTTTTCATAATAGGGAAAAATCGAAAATCGCCCTGTATCAATGGTACCATTGAAGATATCGTGATACGGTTTTTGACAATCGTCGTTTCTCAAAAATCAATCCCATGAAAAATCTTCTATTTTGACATATTTTTATACGATTATGTCAGAATAGAATGTTTTTCGGACGTCTTTCGTCGGAAAAACGGATGCATGAAAATTAAGCTTAAGTCAATTTGCCTCTATCTGGTTTCGAAGTATGTTTTTCCTGTTGAAACACTCCAAATTGCAGCACCCTGTACTTAAAAACTTAATAATTAATTAATTACTACTAAAACATTTACCAAAATAAAACTGCGTTGGACAGCGTCCAACTAGATATTTTTTCTAGATAATTTCCCCATTATTTGACGTGATATATTTCACATCCTATTTTTTTATTCCAAATCGGTGTGTTTAATGAAAAAACTACAGGCAGGAGATGAAAAAGTTTCTAATTTTTATTTTCATTTTTTAAGTTTTTGTTGTTTTGTCTTCTTTTTGCAAATTTAATAACTAATAGGAAAAATAGGAGTAAACTATTTAAAAACCCTCCCATTCATTTTAAAAAAGTGAAAAATTATGCAGAAAGTATGATTTTATAATACCAATACTTCCACAGAATTCTATTCTATCTATCTATTCTATTCTATCGTTTTTCCTATTTAAGATAAAAAATAAAAACATTATTTTTCTGATATCTTTGTACTGCGATACCTCCCTAAATATGTAGTTGAATTTTGACTCAACGTTTATATAACACATTACCTTAGCACACTACCCTTTATTTAAGGAATCACCCCCTAAAGTTTTCGCACTTGTCTAGAGTGTAGACTTCTCACTGGCATATCACAGCATTTTTATTTTTCAGGAATGACGGATCTTCTAGACTTATCGCCAAAATCCCTCAACAGGAAAAAAGTTTTGTGTAGTGTGCATTTTAAAGACGAAGATTTTCTGAACCCAAAAACGAGAAACCGGTTAACAAAAAATGCTCTTCCTATAAAATACATTAGCGAAGAAGTTATCCCTCATTTCGATTCACTGGAGCTAAAAGTGAGAACGCCGGTCAAAACTTATAGCAAAGATTATAGTGCTGGACCAAGCAAGATTCCTTTGTATTCTCCGCAAATGTTACAACCTTCAACAAGCAGAGAGGAACTCTCCCCAAGAACAAAGGCATTTATAGATGATTTATCTGACATGCCTGAAAAATCACCAACAATAAAAAAGGTTAAACGTACTCTCTTCAGTAACAATGAAACCCAGGTAACCACAGCTAAACTAAAAAGCGTAATTGCTAAACACAAATTAATGTTCAAGCAGAAAAATAAAATATGTAATCTCCAGATTAAAGCAACAAGTCAATTTATTAAAAGATGGAAATAAAAAAAAGACCTGCGTTGAGGATGCAACTTTCGCTTCAAAATATTCGGAAGCCTTAGTTAACATGCAAGTTTGCCATAAATCAGGCCAGGTCTGGACAAAAACGGAAAGGGATTTCAGCTTGCTGTCATTTTATAAATCCCCAGGAGCGTACAAATATTGGCGAAATACTCTGAAAATTGTGATGCCTGGATTGTCAACAATCCACAGATGGGTAGGAGATATTGAATGTTTGCCTGGGTTCAACCGATCAATTTTAAATGAGATAAAAAACAAAACCGCTACAATGGAGGAGTCAGAGAGATATTGCACCTTAATATTTGATGAAATAACGATTAAGCAGTTTTTAGAGTACTCGCGCAAACATGATCGAATTGAAGGCTTTCATGATCATGGCGAGCAGTTCAGAAAAAATCAATTTGGTCGACAAATAATGTTATTTTTGATACGCGGTGTATATGCTAATTGGAAGCTCCCATTTGCATATTTTATATCTGATACCACCATGAAAAATGTGGACCTCAAAAAAGCTCTAGGCGAGGCGCTTAAATTACTCCTGGATGCTGGATTGAAGATTATCAGCACCGTTTGTGACCAGGGAAAAAACAACCAATCAGCTTTAAGTATGTTTGGAGTAAACAAAAATTGTCCATATTTTGAAGTTGACAATCATCGTATCTATCATATTTATGATGTCCTTCATTTGGTTAAGAACTTCAGAAACAACTTACTGAAAAATAGATTTTTGTACAAAAACCAGTTTGTCAACTTCAGAGATATCATAGAAGCATACAGAATTGACCAAAGCAGTACAACTTGCCGAAGTATGCCAAAACTCTCTGATTCCCATATAGAACCAGATAATTTTGAAAAAATGAATTGTAGATTGGCAACTCAAATTTTTAGTAATTCTGTGGCAGCTGGAATAAGAACTGCAGTCAGTACAGGAGAGTTAACTTCGTCTAGCGCCCTGCAGACAGCAAATTTTGTTAGTTTTATGAATAATCTGTTTGATTGCCTCAACAGCAAGCAGTTGTACAGTGCCAATCCGTATACTTGCGCAGTCTCATCAGATAGGCCAGTAGTACAAAAAACCATTGAAGAAGCTATTGACATCATTGAGACAATGCAGAAAGAGATGGCTCCAGGAAGGTACACAAGACCGGATTGTTTTGATGGTATGGTTCACACCCTTCGAGCAGTACTCGGAATTTACCACTCTCAGAAGGAGTTAGGATTCCGCTTTCTCTTAACCAACAGACTAAATCAAGATCCCATTGAAAATAAATTTGCATCTTTCAGGCAGCGAGGGGGATTCAATATGAATCCAACAGTCCGAACTTTCAGGACAACGTTTTGGCTATCATTGAAGGTGAACCTTTTGAAACCCACTAAATTTTCAAACTGTGAGGAAGATGAAGATATCTCTGTGATATTACATCCGCCAGAAATATCCAGAATTGAACAACTACCATCAACTTCAAGTACAGGCGGCGAGACTATAGCTTCATCAACATTAAGTACCTCGACGAGTAGCAAAACAAGCAACAGCTGCAGCGAACGTAGACGGAGAAAATATGTCACTCTGCAAGAATGTTCGAACACATATTTTGCAGGATATTTGATTAAAAAAACCATTGAAAAATACAATTGTGATATTTGTAAAAATCATTTAGTCAGTGAACCTTTGACCAATACCGATGGAAGCCAATTATTAATAATGAACAGGACTTACAAAAATGTTTCATTAGGTCTACGGCGGCGTCAACAACGCATAACTAACCTTTTCAGGCAAAGTTTATTAATAATTGCCAGGATATTGAAAAAGTGTCCTCAAAAAGTTTCTATAGGGAGATACTTGAAAGAAAAAATCCAAAAATTAAGAGCAAAAATGCAGGTATTTGAAGCTGATTCCTGTAAAATTCATTGTGATTTTTTTATTGATTTAATGATTCGATGTAAAATAAACAAAGAATGCAAATGGCGAACCTTGTCCTGTAAAAAAAAATGTAAAAAGAAAAGGAAGCTCGATATTATACAAAATCTGTAAATTATAACCTACACAATTTGTGCTTGCCCTTTGGAGTCTTCTTTTCTTTGAAGCTGTATTGTGAATTATCCTATAATATATGATTTCTATTTGTTATTTGATTTTATTTATTTTACCTATACCACTTAGATTTTTTTGATAAGATTAAAGACGTACGTCTAGAAGAAAGTGAATTTTCGAAACATTTCCAATTTTTCATTCCTTCTTAGCCTCTTCACTCCTTCCAATTTCTTTCAAATATCACCTAAATGCTACACAAAATAAATAATTATAAAATACAAGAACAACAAATATAACCGAACAGCCCTCGTAAATTTGAATCTTAGAAGTGCGACCTTGGGCGACGGCAAAGCGACGCGACGGTGGCCGAAATCTTTGATTTTAGTTACAAAACAGCCGTGAGCGACATCTAGTTTTTTTAGCGCAAGCTGGAATCTTTTCAGATTTTCAGAGATGGTGCTGTAAATAATAGGTGCCACGATCGCCCATAAGCGGTGAATATCTATAGCCTGTATAATCTTTGGTCATACAAAGACTCTAGCGAATTAGTTTTACTTAAGGTCCCCACCCTCTATAATCATTTTGTCTACTGATCATAGATATGCTCGTTTTCCATTTCTGTGAGCCTGGTCAGAAACTTAAGCTCTAACTGGTTCCTGATTCTGGGTGGAAGTTTTTCAAGCCCAGCTGCCAACCTCATACAAAAATTCTGAGTGGGCGACAGCTCCCTATTTGCCCCTGGTGCTAAGTTTTTCACAGCCTCAATAAATACCTCATCCTGAACAGTTGATGTATCGGTTTTATTAGTTGAGGTACTGCCGGTACTGGATGCAAGTCTTGATCTTGAGCCTGATGGTGTTGTAGGATTTCTCAACAAAGGAGACATCAGGCCATCAGATTCCTCCCCCTCTAAATTTGTGGAGGTTCTAAAAATAAAAATTTAATTCAGTAACAAACTTTACAATTTGGCCAAGAAAAAAATAACCAGTCATTTTTATTTTACCATTTTCATTATTTAGTATTGCCACCCTGAATGAATACATCTTTTCTAGGATAAATTTGTGTGTGAAAAGCTCTAATTACCTTCTACATGTTAAACTATCCTCTAAAAACATGAGAAGTTCGTAATTTCTATGGCTACGTTTCAGCCTCTCTGCCTGCAGCTTCTCTTCTGCTGAAGATCCAGAGGAAATTTTTTTTTTGATGTTCGCCCTGACTCGCATGAAGCTGTCTCGCATGTTCTTCCACTTTTTCGCGATAGCATCTACTGTTATGTCCACTAAAATAGAATATTCAAGTATAATTACTTACTTAATTCTATTACAATAAATTAGAAAAGGTAAAGTATTAGTTGTTGATGTTGTAAAGAACATACCATCTAATTCTTGAATAACATCCAGCCATAAATTTCGAACTTTTGATCTGGCCCTGTCTTTTAAAGGCAGCCTGAAATCATACAATGCGGGCCTCTCCGACACCAATCTAATTAAAATTTCTTCGTCTTCATCACAAAACGGCCTTCTCTCTGGTTGGACGGGTTCAGCTGAACCTGAGGGATGAGCCAGAATTGCCCCAGCTTCATCCCGTCGAAAAGTGTCTGAAGCTTCAGCTTCAACAGCTGTGACATGTCCACTGAGATATAACCCATAATATTTTTCAGCCACTTGATCTGCATAATCAGGATCTGCAAATAATGTAAATACAATGAATAAATATTTTATTGTTGATACTGTACAAGAATGCACTTTCAAGTCAAATAGTAGGAAGCAATTGAAATTTAGGAAAAAAATATAAATTTCCTTCTACCTGCACCATCAGCTTGATAAAAATGAGAAGAGCAATGTTAAAATCAGGTATCAACAGATTCAGTAGTAAATTCATGATATATGCTCATTTGAATAAGTAGGTAAGTAAATTTAGTTCTAAGATGTAAATAATTGTTAAACTGAAAAAAGATAATTTATTTATTTTATTTTATTATTTTATCATTTCTATGAATTTGATAACTGCAAATAAAGGTTTAACCCAGACCCCAATAAAATAGGAAATTATTTCTAGACAATTATTGTAGGTAGGTAGGGTAGGGTAGGTACCTACCTATTGAATTTCTAAAGATTTTACATAATTGAGATCCCAGGCAGGGCGAGGACAATAAAAATTTAGTGCTTAAATTTGTATATGGCTGGTAATTTAAATAAAAATTATGGCCAAAGGAAAGGTTGTAAACCTGCAGGGGTTTTGAGAAAATGAGATGGAAATCCCAGGCTATTTAGGATCCATATTCCATAAATGTATAGAAAATATAGAGATTAATAAAATATAATTGGAGGAGGACATCAAGATTTAACATGAAACTAGATATTTGCAGGGAATTCAATTGGCCTTAATTGAAGCCTAATTACGTTATGATCCGATTGAAATTAACACAGTTGCGGGGCAAAATGTGCGCCCAAAATCAAATTTTCAAAAAATGTATTAACTTGTTATTTTTTGAGTGCCATGTTTGGAAGATCCGATAAAAATTTGGCAAATGGATAGTTACGATTGAAATTAACAAAAAAATCAATTAAAATATCCATTTGCTTGGTCAGCTTAATAAAAAATCTAAAGACTATTGCAGCTGCAGTGAAATTATTAACTATATTTGCAAAGAATTTCATTTCAATATTTCAGACCAAACTGTCAAAAAATTTAATTGAAGGAGGTTTTATTTTTTTGTAAGCAAAATGTTTCAGCGATTGGAATAGCTAAATTTTGCAAATGGATACCAGATTGAAAGATTAATAAATACGGGGATAAAAATTACTCTCTATTGCTCACATTTATTGAAATCAAAGTTAAATGACTTTGAAGCATGAAATATTAGTATCTGAATCAAAATCAAAAAAATATATCACACAGAAAATGTTGCAAAAACATTGGCTATTCATAATCAAACTTCACCTAAATTTTATGGGCTACCAAAACCAAAAATCATAATAATACTTTTCAGCCACTTGGTCTGCATAATTGGGATCTGCGAATTTATTCTGTAATTAGCTACTTATATGTATATATTTATTGGTGATACTCTGATTTCTGATACTATAAAAAGAAGCACTTTCACAAGTCAAATGAAATTGAAATTTAAAATAAATTTAAAAATATCAATCAGGGCTCAAATGCTCTTTATTCAAATGTTATTTGCGATCCTAGTAGCAAATGGAATAATTTTTTGGTATAGAGTATAGACTATAATATACAAATTTATTTAAACTATTGTACAAAATATATATAAAATAAAAGAAATCATGCTTACCACTTTGCACTGTCTCCAACTCTTGCTTGGATAGAACCACCTTGAACTTGGTGCCTGTGGAATGAGTGATAACCACTTTAACTAGCTGTTGGGGCTGCGGATTCATTTTTCAAGAGAAAAAAAAACACAATTTACAAAAAGTCGCAATAAATAAAATACAAGAAAACTCCAAAATAGCCTGTCACAACAAACAAAATGGACTGACAGAACCAGCGACACGCGGTGTAGTTGAAAAATTTCAACCACAGCGGGTGTAGCCCGCGACAGAAAAGTGGGGACTAGGGGAAATTTATCCTCGACGTTCTATTGGTCGAAAGGCTGTCATTCTTCGTCGCCAGCGACAGAACGAAGCTCTGAGAACGCCGCTTTAAAGTAAACTTTCCATTTGAAGTTGAAAAATCCTGTCCTAAAAGTCTATTTAGCTAAGGTAATTCTCTATTATGAAATTGGCCGTTAGATACTATGCTGACAAAATAGAAATTAAATCGTGTTTATCACCCTAAATTCTAAATGTAGACGAGCTTATACCAGGAAAGCCTACAAGAAAAGACCTGAACCAGTAGAAGGTGCTTCAAAATGTATTAGTAAGCGAATTAAATCCTCTTATTCAAAGATTTGCATAATATGCAATAAAATTCGCGATAGTAGGGGTTTGAGAAGACTCAAGCAAAGACTGACATTTGATAAGCAAAATCAAATATGGAACATGGCAAAAACAACCATCAACTTTTGCATTGAATTCAAGTATTTGGTAATAATTGTATTGACATCATTGCTCACGAATGTGCATATCAATCATATCATAGTCTGTGTTTCTTGAAACTATTTCAAAAATCAAAATCAGAAGTAAATTCCCTACAAGAATCTGAAGTAATTTCGTTTGGAACTATTTTTATTAAAATTTAATCTTATATAGAAAATGCCCTATTTATAGAAAATAGGGTATTCACAATAGAAATCATCCTACATAGGGAAGCAAGGAAGCAAAGTTATGGAACGTTGAGTGAACTGCACAATATCCATCGTCAGAAGAGATTATCAATAACCTGCAAAGTAGAACAATTATGGTCGAGATTATGGTTATTCTCCGAGATGGAAAACTTTCAAGTTATCTTTGCTCTACTAAAGTAATTATCAATAAATAAGACGCTGTAAGCAATTCAAGTTCAATCAAATGTTTAATATTTAAGGGCGCATTCTTGCAAATTGTGTGCAGCAAGACACTTTGACAATTACTGAAGAATGTGCATCCTAATATCATACCAAAGTCATTATATAACCTTTTTCGTGAATACCTACTGAGAAACTAGTGAAAAAGAAGTGAATTTTGACAAAGATTGAAAAGTTCTGTTGGAAGAGAAGCTTGAAGAAAAGGTTTTGGATATTTGTCGACTTTTCATTTGTATTAATTGGAATGAAAACACCATAACATGTGGAATTAGCCGTTTACTAAAAAATTTTGAATTGAGCCTGATGCTTTGTTTTAAAAAAGAAATCTTGTTGTTATTATTTTTTTTTCTGACATTAATTGGATGCCCTAAAAATAGATTCCATATTTGATAATAATTAATAAATAAATAAATGGATTTTTTATACCTTTTATGTGACTTTTTTTTTGCCAATGTGTTTCTGAGAGAAAATGCATTGTGAAATAAATATTTTGATTGGGTAATGATAATATTGTTTTTTATACTTATAAAAAAATTATTATTAATATTTTTCCTATTCATATTGCTTCCCAACCCAACCAAACCCATAAATCCCCCATTCCCCTATACTCCCTACAATATTATAACAATATCGTAATGCGTGTCTTTGTTGCACGTATGAAGAAAGCTGTGGCGTTAACTCTCTCTGACACTGATTCGCTGCACCGCGTCCTAAGATCGCGCTCACCGGCAATGCCGAGAGTTGAGACGCGGCAATTCAATTTTCTTCGGTTTTTTTAAAAAAATACAGCCCAAACTAAACGTCGTATGGAAAAAAAGTTTTAGTAAAAAAGTTTCTTTACTCCATTGGCAACATTTTTCTCGCTTACACTTGGTATCTATCTCTAAAGATAAAAAAGTTTTCTCGACTCACCATTTAACGCTGCAAAATGACGATATTTTGTGTCATCTGGCGAAAAAAAAATTACGTAGCTTCTATGTTTTTTATTGTTATGAAACTATGTCAGGAAAGTACTGAAAAATATCATATCCAAAATTCATGATAATCGGACATCAATTAACAAAGTTATGCACTAGTTTTCAAAAAAAAAATATATTTTAATGGAAATTTTCAGTCTTTTCAAAAATGTCATATTTTGACACATTTCGCAATTCCGGATCAAAGGGCGAACAAGAAATTCGAATCCGGCAGGTCATTTTACATAGGATTTCATGTTTTATAGGTGGATGTTCGCGACTTGTATAGAGGTGGTCGAATTCATCACCTCAGATTCCCGACTAATATCATCTTCCATATTTTGCCTTTGCTGCAAGAATTGTCTTGGCTTGGTTTTATTTGGATTTTCCTTGGGAAGTTAAGAACCACTTTGTGGGATTTTATAGTTAAAATTGGGTGAGTACTATTTCACGTTTTTTTTTTCCATGGCGAATTCCTTTCCTCATTCTTGCCTTGGTTCTAGTTGAAGGGACAGATCGAATTCTTAGGGTTACAAAATCCTTGATCCATCGAGAGAGAGAAGCAAAAATAATAAATTGTTCAATTGAGAGACACAGACTGACGCTTCGGCTTCGTGTGACTTTTCGACCCTCATAGAGGTAGGTCTTATTGTCAATTTTTAGCCGTTAAATTTCACTACATTTAATTACCGTTTTATCTAAATATCAGTGCCGTACTAAGTAAATTGTAGATGAATATTAAATTCTGAAAATTGTAATTCCTGGGAAAATTGGGGTTTCTATCTACTTATATCTTTCTTTTAAATTGATGGATAGCGAATTAAATAAGTTTCTTTAATTAATTGTTTACTATCTATTCTTAAAATGGGGTTAAAAACAAGAAAAAATTACCAAAACTAGTTATGTAGTGTCTTTAAAAAGATAGTGTTTAATTGAATTTTGTTTTCTTATAAGCATTTTTCCGGGAGGCGCTTTCCCTCCTCTGACATTCGAGTTTGGCCCTGAGTACTTGGAATGCAACAACAGCTGAAATTGTGGTTCAACTAAGAGCGCACTTATTGGTACATTTGCCTTGGGTACCAAATTAGACTCGTCGAACAGACAACACCCGAAAGAAAAGCACACAGATAAGAATTTAATTTAACACACATAATTCTTTACTTATATTTCTTTGCTATAAGCATTTCAATTGTGGACAATTCCAAACTTTTTTTTTTGTACCAATTTCATTTCATTTTATCATTTAAAATTTCAGTGGTGCGCTTATGTGCTGTTGTTTACAATAGTAAATAGTACACTCCATGCGCATGTAAACAACTTGTGATCACAATTTGTAGGAGGTGAATTTATAGGGTTTATACAGGTATATTTGGTATGCTTTGTTAATTTTGGAATTACGTTGCAACAGGTAGCAATTGCGTCACCACTGAATCGCTATTACTTGTTACTCGATAATATTTTTTGTTATTATGATTTATTTTATATTTCTACCTGAAGTAGGAACACGCATTCAATTATAATTTCTTAAGGGAAATTAAGCATTCACCACTAGTGTTCTTCAGAAATCTTTAATTACTTAATTACTTAATCACTTAACCTATTGATATTTATTGATTGCCTACTATCGATATTGTCTGCTTACTATCGATACCTATTAACTGTTAATTATATTGATATTAATTAAGAACTTGTTTTGGTAATAACCGACTTTGAATTGGCTCAGCAGACAATTTTGCTTGTGTTTTTGCTGTTTCACAGTTTAGGAATTGCAGAAGGTCGATTGGTGTTGATAAGATTCAGGGACCTTCCATCTTAGGTCTTCATCCGGCTGGTGGCGCTAACTCACTCCACTCTCCAAGTATTTAAGGGGCTACGGGCATAATTTTCCACGAAACAAAGACCACTCATTGGCTTCTGCATTTCAGATTTCACATTTCAGATTTTAAGTTTCACATTTCAGATTTTAGATTTCACATTTCAGATTTTAGATTTCACATTTCAGATTTTAGATTTTACACTCAGATTTTAGATTTCACATTTCAGATTTTAGATTTCACCTTTCAGATTTTAGATTCCACATTTCAGATTTTATATTTCAGATTATTGAATACAATACTTTGATTTGAATCATAAATTATATTGATTTATTACTCCAAATAACTAATTAAACATTCAAAATCGTGGAGGGATCCTCTCAACATTCTTTCAAAAATATCTTGAGCTAATCCAGCAAGTGAAGCCTAGAAAAAATTGAATGTATTATATGTCTTTTTCACGCAAGCAGAATGCAGATATACATAATTTATTAGCCTTTCATCTCAGTTAAATTAATTTAATTCTTTATGCTTATGCATTAAGAAAAACTTGTTCTGGAGAATTTTTTAAAAATGTTTACCTAATGACATGCATAAAAAAGTATTTTAATAATAGACAGAAATAAATCCATACCTTTATGGTTGCCGCAGACGATTCACTTATTAAGGATTTTTCCTTTAAGTAATCAATTAATTGTTGCAATGATGTAATTTTTTTTTTTAAGTCTTCGTACAGTCATTTGTAAAGTATGCACTTTGCGTTCTCTTCTCTCATCCAAAGTTTTTTCAAAAGCTAAATTTCTTCTTGAAAAATCGCTGCTTCCAAGATCTCCATTGTATCTTTTTCTAAAATCCAAAAAAAAAAAAACATTAAGTACCTACCTTTGCAGAAACAGACTAAGCATACGCAGAGAAAAGTTATCGCCGAGGTCGCTTGCAGCCGAGGCAAGATAACCTCGAGGACGCTAAAAAGTTTCGCGGTCATGGTAATTACACTATTTTTTGTGCAACTACGGAAATTATGTGAAGTTACAGAAACAATAAAAAACACACTCTCCTGTATTTCTGTTTCTGAAGCAGTCTCTGTTTTTTCTGTAGCGGGTGACAAGGGCTTCATATTATTTTCTTTGGTCTTAGACAAGTTCCTGTGAAATTTTTGGATAGCTCTTGTTTGTATGAATAAAATATGCATTCTTACAACTTTAAGGGGCCTGCATTATTCTGATCAGTAGTGACTTCAGGTAGATCAGGACATTCTGGATGGTCAAACATGATTTCCAAATCAACATCTTCTAGTTTACCATCCAAATTATTGGTTTTACTAAAAGGTTTTATATTTTTAAGTTCATTAGAAGAGGACCTATACGGTATAGGTCTTCTTATGATCCCCATGTTGCATACCCATAAACATACATACCTCAACCTTGTATGAAATGTATACAATGTGATCGTTACAAGATTTTAAATTTTTATCAAAAAAATTATCGAAATACTCTAATTCGGCTGCGCATCCACTTCAATTGTGACATTGTTTTATAAAATAATACAATTTTTCAGAGTGAACATTTCATCGAATTTCCAAGATTATTCTTTATTTTGCTGCTTATTTTTTTTTTAGGCTTAGTTTCATCACTACTACTGTCGCCAGTAGCATTTCCACTAATAGTTTCAATAAGTGTAACTTCTCTATCACTTGCACTTGAGTAATCAGTTTCATCACTTTCTCTTGATAAATAGTCTCTCACCATCTAGCAACATACTCTCCAATTCCTCGTCAGTTTCGCTTTTTTTCATTTATTGTTTCGTTATATTTACATAAAATCCGATAAAACCGTTGTTTACTATGGGTAACAAAATATAACCACTTGTTTCTGTTTCTCATAAACATGGAAGTGGGGTATCGGCCATTACCAAACTCAATTAAACGTTTCTCCATATACATTTCCTAACGTGTCAGGACATAATCTACGAGCTGTGCCAGATTAAAAGCCATAAGTCTGTTTAAAATACAGTCTTCCATTATTCTGAATACAACTTCATTATAATTTGTTGTAGTGCTACCCCTTGGCAGATATTTTTGTCTATGACATGTAGCCCAATCTTCTTTTTTCCATAATTCAAAATAGTACTTCTGCAATGACGGGTAAGTTTTATACATATATTCGATTGAACATGAGAATATTATGATGTTTCAATGCCTCATCTTCAGTAACTGCATAAAGAATATTTTTGATTAATACAATTCCTGTCGATGCATTTTTGATATGTTATATTTGCAGTTACATATCCAACTCCAACATGCCTTTAAAAAGTGAAATTGGCATAATAACAGCATTGAATCGGGAAAGTTTTTTTTAAAAGATTTTCTTTCTTTCAAATCATTGTCTGGTAAAAAACAGTAGGATATTTTTGTTTAAAATAATAATCTTTGGGCAAAATATTTCGAAATTCTGCCGATGCTTTATCAAAAACGCATTCTCTCTCACTATCAGTGATTATCACTCCAACTGGTAAGCCGCCAGCTACTGTTTGTGTTACGAAAAAGTAAACTCGGTGTCTCTGTTTATCCATACCCCCTGATGCATCAACCATTAACAACTCGCGACATTGGCTAATATTTTTATGAGTACTTGCCATGATGGGAGTACATAAAACAACAGAAAAATGATCATCATATTTGCTTTTAAAAATCCTTGCTTTTTCTCCATGACTCTCGTAACTGTACTCTTGTAACTTTTGTGCAAGATTTTCAATCATCTCATCTCCGAAATAACTACCATATTCTTGAAGAAACTCTTTTCCAAAGAACTTGCGAACAACTGAAATTGAAGGTACATAGTAGGTATCGGCTGCTAATTCATAATAATTTTTCACTATTTTCAAGTGAAAGGTCAGTTTTAATGCAGTGCAGGGAAGATGCAGGGCTATGTCCTTTCCGAAAAAGTGTTCTTAATTTTTCTTTGACTTCATCTGACATGTCTCGATATTTAAGAACCGCTGCACTGTTGATATAATGATTATGGGTAGCTTTAAAACAAACAACACCTGGCCAATCGAGTCAGAGAGGATCTTTGGACTTCGCTCTGGATTTGGCGTTGTACCTAGAATAATAAAAGAATGTAAGTTGAAATGAAATCTTAATAGAGAATTGAATAAAAAAATCACTACACTACCAACAGTATATATCTGGTGTTCCATTTAAAAGGATTATACCTCATACAATATCAAATAATTTTGAGCCACCCTAGCCTGAACCCTGAAGCTAATAATTTTCTCAAAAAAAGATAAATAAAATAAAATATTGAATTAAATATGGTCATACATAGAATAGAATTTTTCAGAGAATCTGAAAATGTTATACCTAGTATACCTACCAGGTTCCATTGAAAAAAAATACTCTCAAAATTTATCGAGAAATTTATAGTTCAGTAGGAAATAAAAATAATAAACCGAACGTCTAACGGTCGTATAGCCACTTTCAAAATAAAATACCTATATATGAGTTAACTTACCTTTTAATAATTATATTCAACTTAGCTGGACAACCAGTATTTTTGGATGAACGCACTTCCTTTACTCTTTTATCTGTCAAGTGTACAGAACGTAAATCTACTCGAAATATTTTAACCTTTCCACTATTTGGGTATATGGCAGCTTTCCTCCAAGTTGTTTTTGTTTGCTCCATATACCTATTGAGCCACGCCTATAAAATAAATGAATTGATAATATTATTAAGAATAAAAATATAAGTAGACTATGAGAATGTAGTAGTTAATTATGTGAAACCTTATAGCTACATAAAATTATGATGTGATTACTGATTTTGATACTCATACCTCTGCAGATGCTTGATCCGAAACTTCTTTAATACGAATAATAGTTTTATCTGATTTTTAAGCATTTGAATTAATAAATAAGTAGTTGTATCCTGATGGTAAATCTTTTATTATTATGTCTTGTGTTTCCATTCTAAGCATCAAGTTGTATTAAATAATATATCTATCACTGCGATCACTGCCAAAGATTAGGAAGTACTAGGGTGAGATCCGGCAAAGTTCAACTACAATAGAAATCCCCCTTCCAGGCTACTCGGGTGAAATCCCTATTACAGGAAGGCCTGGAGTGTATCAACTATTTGACCTAGTGGTGCGAAGCGTGACACTGTGCAAAGCGAGTACCACAGTTACGGATGAAGACGGCTTACCTTCGTCTGGTCGGCGAGGATGCTCGGCAGGACTAGTTCGTCGCGCAGGGCTGTGCTGTGGTCTCGGCTGTGGTGCTGCTGACTTCGGCAGAGCTGGAAGGTCGCGTAGGGCCGCAGGCTATGGTTCGTACACCTGCTGGTGTTGGTTTTACTCGAGCGTCGGTTGGTACTGTTTATCGTTGCCAATCTTCGCCATTTTATATGCGAAGTATAATGGGGACAGCGACGACGCCGATGGATTTTTTCTTTCAGTTCATTGCTTGAGCATAGCGACATGAATGTAGGCTTTGCTAGCAAGGTCACGCGCCTAAATATTATTATACATACTAAACAAATGCAATTATTTCGGGAAAAATTTATAATAATTCGCGTTATGAATTATTATTTTATTAGAAAGAAAATTTGATAAATATATACAATTGTAATGAAGGCGAAGAGTGTCACCTGAGGCAAAATTCCTCTGGGCTGCACCAGGTTCTCCTGAAAAATTCAGGCATTCATAGTCTAATAATATAACTGTGTTGTCCCAATATAAATAACCAATGACAGTTATTGAAAAAAAAAAGATTGTGAAAAGCCTTTGATTTGACAATGATATTTGACTAGAAAATAAAACTCTACCTACCGAAGACGACTTGATACTTCTTGCAGTAGCTTTGAGAACATTAATTGTTCCTTGTTGGCAGAATCATAGGCGGCAGTCGGAAAAATCTATGGAAAATTATATTAACTTCGTTACAGGTTATTTTTTGCCTGCAGTAGCTTTGAGAACATTAATTATTCCTTGTTGGCAGAATCATAGGCCGCAGTCGGAAAAATCTATGGACAATTATATTAACTTCGGTACAGGTTATTTTTTGCCTGCAGTAGCTTTGAGAACATTAATTGTTCCTTGTTGGCAGAATCATAGGCGGCAGTCGGAAAAATCTATAGAAAATTATATTAACTTCGTTACAGGTTATTTTTTGCCTGCATTAGCTTTGAGAACATTAATTGTTCCTTGTTGGCAGAATCATAGGCCGCAGTCGGAAAAATCTATAGAAAATTATATTAACTTCGTTACAGATTATTTTTTGCCTGCATTAGCTTTGAGAACATTAATTGTTCCTTGTTGGCAGAATCATAGGCGGCAGTCGGAAAAATCTATGGAAAATTATATTAACTTCGTTACAGGTTATTTTTTGCCTGCAGTAGCTTTGAGAACATTAATTGTTCCTTGTTGGCAGAATCATAGGCCGCAGTCGGAAAAATCTATGGACAATTATATTAACTTCGGTACAGGTTATTTTTGCCTGCAGTAGCTTTGAGAACATTAATTGTTCCTTGTTGGCAGAATCATAGGCGGCAGTCGGAAAAATCTATAGAAAATTATATTAACTTCGTTACAGGTTATGTTTTGCCTGCATTAGCTTTGAGAACATTAATTGTTCCTTGTTGGCAGAATCATAGGCCGCAGTCGGAAAAATCTATAGAAAATTATATTAACTTCGTTACAGATTATTTTTTGCCTGCATTAGCTTTGAGAACATTAATTGTTCCTTGTTGGCAGAATCATAGGCGGCAGTCGGAAAAATCTATGGAAAATTATATTAACTTCGTTACAGGTTATTTTTTGCCTGCAGTAGCTTTGAGAACATTAATTGTTCCTTATTGGCAGAATCATAGGCGGCAGTCGGAAAAATCTATAGAAAATTATATTAACTTCGTTACAGATTATTTTTTGCCTGCATTAGCTTTGAGAACATTAATTGTTCCTTGTTGGCAGAATCATAGGCCGCAGTCGGAAAAATCTATAGAAAATTATATTAACTTCGTTACAGGTTATTTTTTACCTTCAGTAGCTTTGAGAACATTAATTGTTCCTTGTTGGCAGAATGATAGGCCGCAGTCGGAAAAATCTATGGACAATTATATTAACTTCGTTACAGGTTATTTTTTGCCTACAGTAGCTTCGAGAACATTAATTGTTACTTCCCAATCTCTGGTAGCTATACAGGCAATTTGAGTGTTATGTTTATGTTTAACTGTTTTTGTTTCTCTACAAAAACTGCTAGATTTTGGTGAGAATTTCTGTTTTCTTTTAAAATTTCTTCGCTATCTGCAACAATTTTTTTTTAACGATTCCAATTTAATAATGTCTTGTATTGATGAATTGAGATCATGTGTCATGCATCCATAAGTAGAAATATGCGGAAACTTTGTATTTATCATTCGCCAATCAGCTTTTATATTGCTTGCATTATTAGTTACTATTGCTATAAAAGTTGGCAATATTTCCTCTAAAACTCAAAATAATATTTCACTTATAATTCAGCAGTATGTCTATTTACATTTGTGGTGATGGACTTGAAAAAAATTGACTCTGGAGTGGTTAGAACAAAGTTAACCATGCTTTCTTTTCTTCGACTTCGACGTAGTAAGTCTAGTTACTATGGGGAAAAAAAATAAGAAATTGTTAGGGTAACCATATAAATTTTTTTTTAAATTAATATTCTGACATTTTATTTAAATCTCACAAAACATTTTCGAAAATTTCATCGTTATAATTAATGCTGACGTTGCATCTTTTCAAAACTGAATTAGTCGCCTTTCTCAGGGATCGCCTATCAATATTACTGAAAGCTTCAATTACAGCACCTCGAAGCTCATCCACTGTAGCATAAGTTTTTTTTGCAAACGCTGTCTTTTACAGCTCCCCACAAAAAAATCTGAAACCGTCGTTGAAGTATCTCCATAAATAAATGGTCCAATAAGTGTTGAGCCCAAAACAACACACAAATCAGATAGCAAAAGTGAAAAAATTGATAAACCGGAAGAAAAATCAGATAAAGAGAGACCACAAAGAAAAGGAACATTTGGTCAAAGATAAAAAATTACCAGATAAAGATAAAGAATCATCTGTTAAAGGAAAAGAGAGACCAGACAAAATTAAGTCAAGTAAAGAAAAATCTGAAAAACACAGAGAAAACTTAACTAAAGATATGATAAAATCTAAAAAACACGGAGAAAAGTCGAGCAAAGATAAGAAAAGACTGATAAAGAAAAATCTGATAAAGAAAAATTTTCACAAAAAGAGACACATCCTAAAACAAAACCAATAGACAAAGCTACACAAGATGGGGCAGGAAGCAGCTCAATTAAGCATAAAAGCATATCAAGTTCTGTTAAAAAAGATACCAATGGCAACAAAAATAGTGCAAAAGAAAAATCATCTTCTGGAAAAAGCAGAGAGTCTTACCACAAAAATAAACATTCTTCTACATGTCCCCAATTTATTCAATTATTTCTAAAATTTGATTCTCCTAGATAAGCTACGCCCTTGACCTTCTCCTCCGAAGTATTTTTTAGGGTATCCAGGATGCCAAAAAATATCATGAGAAATTGTAATTTAAATAAAAAAGTACCATATTATTCTACAATTTTCTTAATTAATAATAATAAGAAAAAATGGAGCCAACATCATCAACCGCAGTAGAAAAAATGGAGCCAACATCATCAATCACAACCGCAACCGCGGTAGTTTGACTCGAAATAGCAAACGCATAATACAATCGTTATGCCATATTCAAAAAAAAAGCGAAATGTTGTGATTAAATATTGAGATTTTATAAAAAAACAAATGAACTAAACTATCAATAACCTCTCCGGGGAGCCACGGGACCTTGTCGTTGGTGGAGAGGCTCAGCGGCCGTGCGTCGCTGCAGAGATGTGGAGACGTTCGGTCGTGACCAAGGGTGGCTCACCATACCAGGAAAGCACACACACAGCATCCCGGTATGCTGGGTGTCTGCTAGACAAACAGCGTGGAGGAGGACACTCGGCTCTGCCTCAGCCCGCAATCTGGGTCTCGCAGCCCTGTTTCGGGTTGGGGCTAAGTCGACTGCCCTCTGTTGAAACCTGCCTGGTATATCTCGCGCTCTAAGATCGGTGGTTGATGAGGAAGCATCTTAGGGCGTGAGGGCTTGCCTTAACCGGCCGGCCAAGTGGAAGGCGAACCACAATAAAAATCCCTCCAAGTCACGGTGGAACAGCATAGGCCAAGGACTGCGTGGTTAGGGGAAAGCCTAATCGATACTATGCGAACTCCAGGGATGTGGCGACCCACGGCTTAACTAGTCCGACCGGGGCATGCGGGGCTCTGCCTCGGCTGTATGGATTACTTCCCTAGCTACTCGTGGGACCTAGCATGGATACCAAACAAAAACCAAACAAGGCGAAGGATGTTAGCGCCTCAAGCACATCCGAGAAAATGGAATTAGGGGACTGTAAAAGCCCCACTGAACTTCTACGTTCAACAAACGACGACCTCGGCAAAGATCTGGGCGCCCTGAAGGGCGACGTGAAGATCAAGCTGAGTGGCGCTGCCAGAAAGAGGATGAAATTCCTCATCAAAAAAGGGATGAGTGCAGACGAAGCCCGCAAAAAAGCCCTTGAGCCAATCAAAGAAAGGGCTGAATTCTCTGACAAGGGCGAAAAAAGAGCCCGGTCAGAGGAAAACA